TTACAAATGTGCGACTTATTTCTCACTCAAGATAAATGACCCCCAAATAGCTGTACATTGAATTTCAGTAAAATCAATCACACGCTGCACAAAGGAGTTCTTTAAAGGAATTGTGACCCTGAGCCTGACTGGTGATGATGTACCTGCCCCCTAGACATGGGGCCAAGCACTTCACCCGCCTTGTCACAACTCTCGGGGGGGCCTCGCCCCTGCTGTTCCCATGCCCCAGAGGAAGTGACAGGCTCATTGAAATTATGTGACTTGCTGAGGGTCACAACTGGTGATCAGCGTGGCTGGGATTTGAACTCTCATCTGTGTGACCTGAATCTTGAGCTCTTAAGCACATTTTACTGCTTCTCGAGATGGAAATAACATCAGTGATCTCTTACATCTGCAGAGTGCTTGGTGATTAACAAAGACTTTCATGTTTGTTAGTGTTCGTTATCTCCTCCCATCCTTACAACAGCCTTGGGTAAGGCAGACGGGCATGGCCGTCCCATCTTACAGAGTAGAAATGGGTTGGTCAGAGTGCCATGACGTGTGCGATGTTCGCAGCAGCGTGTGGCTGAGCCAGGCCGGGGCCCAGCTCTCTGCTCCCTGGGTCTTGCTTTTTTTCTTTTAGTTCACTAAGGTCTGCAGTTGCCAGGGAGAGGAGCATGAGTCTAGCCCACTTCATCTGGTGGTTTTCCCTCTTTGCTATTTAATTTCTCTCCTTGCAACCTGTCCTCTTACCTGACCCCATCTCTTGCTCTCCCCGCTGACTCTGTTCCTACCTGCTGGCCTCCTCAGGCTTCCTGTGCTGGTGAGGGGCCCTGCCACGTAGCCACGTAGCGGTGGCGTTGCTTCCTTACCCCTCGGCTCTGCAGTTCTCCACTCACCTGCGTGCTCCTCAGTGAGGCCTTCCCGCCCACTCGTATAAAATAGCTCTCTTGATCACTCTTCACTTAATCCATTTCTCTTCTTACCACTTATCACCACCTATTTTGTGTTTATTTTACTTTCTAAAATGTGCCTTCCTCTCTAGAATGTAAGCTCCTTGAGGGCAAGGATTTGTCTCTTTTGTTCATTTACTGTAACTCCCCCTTGGCATATACTTAATGGCAGCCCAACGTGTCTCCTGTTTATGGGAAGGGGCGGTGAGGCGTGGTCATCCCTGAGCTGTGGCCGGAAGTTCTTCCCACTCCAGGATGAGCCCGGGGAAACACTGTGGGTGTAAATGTTGCTGATGTCTTTGCTTGTACCCGCTGCTTTACTGGCGCGAGCTCCTCCCTTCCCCCTTCCCCCTCCTTTGCAGGGATGCTTTATAAATGTGTCAGTGGCTGGATGATGTCACCGTAATGCATTTTGGGAACAGCCATGTGGCTTATACACACTCAAGTTGCTTTGAATGCAAACCTGGCATCATAGTGAAGGCAGCAGCGAACAACATATGCACAGTAAACAGGCAGAGACTGTCTTATTGATTAACAGATGAGGCCTCTGTTATTGATCAAAGCTTGGCAAAGAAATTTATCACTTTTAATTTCAGGGCTGCCAAATATTTCTGCCTCTGAGCCAGCCATTATAGAGACGATTTAAAGGCACACGCCTCCTTGAGAGAGGGTGGTTTCCTCCCCTTTCTGCTGGCTTTTTTGTCCTGGAACTGCCTGTCTTTGCTGTCGGGCTCAACCTGGGGGGGCAGTTTGAGCCGGGGTGGGGGTGTCCTGGGCTTCATGAATGGCTGCTGATGCCCCTGGTACCCACGTGTGATGAAGGTTCTGACCCAAGTGACTGAGGACAGGGCACTTTCCCGCACTCAGAGCAAGGTTGTGACTTCAGCAGGGCGAACATGGAGTGGGGGGACTTGGAGGACAACACGGTGTGGTCAGGCTTGGGCTCAGCCAGCATCCTCGCCTCAACGATGTGTGCAAACCTGCTTTATCTTCCTGTGAACTTGTCTGGTGGCATGCATCCGGCCCTTAATTTCCTGCCTGCCCTCCTTCCTTTCTCTCTGTGCCTCAGTCATTAAAGCAGACACCGAGACAGCCACATCCATGGCTGTTCTCTAAGAACTCTTCCTGCCACATCCCTTTGAGGCTGAGCTCCTGGGGCCCCCTCACCCCAGGGCTCACACGGTAGTGGGGTAGCAGTGCTGAAGCCCCAGGGAACCCTCCCCTCTCGGTCCCCACTTCCGTCCTTGGGCCTCCCTTCTTTCTTCTTTGGTGAGTCGTGAGAACGGATAGAACCAAAGAAAGAAATACAATGAAAATAAGATCTTCAGAAAATCATTGCTGGCTAATGATCTGGGACTGGGGAGTTTCTCTTTGTGCAGGGCTGGGCCTCACCTGCCTCGGTCCTCCCACCGTGGCCCTGTCGGCAATTTGAGGCTCACGCTGCATTTCCAGTAGGAATGGATGAAAAGCGGTTCGGGCTGCCGCCTGTGTGCCACAGTGGGACTGGGCATCTTCAAAGCTCTGCCAGCTCCTTCTCGGCCCTTGGCCGCAGGGAGGCCCTGCATCCTAAGGGAAGCCCAGAGCGATGGCGCTGTTTTTCCTGCCTCTGGGCAGAATTCCGCTCCAGCCACCTAAAACGAATGACAGTTTGTTTCAAAATACTTAAGGAAAACTGATTTCGTCCCTTTCCTGGGGCATTTTATCGCTCATTCATTCAGTCCATCCACTAATATTTAGAACATCTGCTCTTTGCAGGAATATAGACAAGGTCAGGACCCTCTGACATTCCAGATCTCCTCTGGGGTCCTCATACCCTTCACTGGCAAGAACTGCTTCTTGGTGTTTAATTTAAGTCTATAATGGTTCACCTTATATTCTGAGTTCTAGTCCTTCAGGGTGTACTAATACACCAAGACAGAGGTTTTAAACTTTTTAAAAAGTAGTGCAACCATTTTTCCAAATAGAATTTTATGCAAAACCTTGATGTGTACAAGGGGTAAATTGGATTTTCACTTTTTTGATTTGAGAGAAAGAAGCCCGGAGCTTACCTTCTTATCCAGGAAACATCTCTGCAGATGGAACCCTGCGGAGGCCTAAGGGTAGAGGAGTGAAGAACCAAGGCTCTGATGTCAGGCTGCTGGTCTTTGGATCCACCCGTGACACTGGGAAAGCCACTTACCTGTCTGAGCTTCAGTTTTCTCATATACTAGACGGGGGCAGTAATAGTTTGTACTTTAAAAGATTTTTAGAATCAAATAAAATGATATGGCCTAAATATTTAGCATCCTGTGGTATATGATAAAGCCCCAGGAAATCTCAGCTACTCTGAACAGAGCACTAGACTGTTCCCTGCTGCAGTATGTGTTAAGAAGGAATTCTGCCCCTTATGAACTCTGACACCAAACTACAAGGCAGGCGCACTTCCAGAAGGGCGAAGATACATCGGAGGGAATGAAGTGCAGACTGGAGGGCTTGGTGCATGTGTACTCCAGTTTTGAGAATAGAATGGGACTGGAATAGACTGAGGGGTGAGACCAGGCATCACTCACGCCCAGAGCCTCAGGGAGGGTCGGGTGGCACAGAGGGCCCCCGAGGACAACTCCCTGTGGGGCTGGACTGCTCACCGGAGCACGTTGTGGGGGCCTTGAAGCTAAGCAGAGGAACTTAGAGCCAGCGCAAACTGTGAGCCATTGTGTCGTCTTGAGCAAGGAAGTGTGAGGAATGAAGGGGCCTTCAAGGCACCTGCCTCTGTTGGTTGGATCAGAGGGCTGCCGGTGGTGTGACGGCTGTGCTGAGTCCTCCGGCGTGCCGGGCGCGACTCCACAAGAGCCCGGATGGGGACAGTGGTTAATGACATGCAGTGGGACAGAGCCACCTAGAAGAGGCTTTGAAAGCAAACTCCCAGGGCTTAAAACAGGTTGCTCCCTGGACAAGGTAACACGTTGGAGCCTTGGAGACTGTTAGCGAGTGGTAAAAAGTCCTGTTTATCTTGACATTGTGACATTGTTGCTTTGAGCCTTGTAAATAATGGCTCTAAAAAAGTTTATTAAATTGAATGGCCCTGCATGGGTTTGGCTTATTCCCCCAAAATGTACGGTAATAGGTTCCCACTGGGAGCCAGGCCGATGCAGCCGTGCGTGTGATGGCGTTCTCTCCACACCGCCCCCGAGGGAGCTGCCGTGGGTCCGGAGGCAGAGACGGTGGGTCCACAGGCATTTGTAAGAGAGCATGGCACTGCTGTGACCGGGGACGTACACAGTGCTGTGGGAGCAAAAAAGGGCCTCCTGCCCCAGGCGGGGGGGACAAGGGTGAGGCGGCCGATGCATACATGGTGAATAGAAGCTGGCTGTGCCGTGGGCCTGGGAGAGGGGCAAGAGTGTCCGAGACAGACCGGGCACAAGAGGATGTGCCGAGACCTTGCAGTGGGGAAGGGCATGGCTCCTGCAGGGAACCAGAGTGGCTCCACAGGCTGGAGACTAGGGAGCAAGGGCGGGGAAGCAGAGGCCAAGCGAGAAAGATGAGCGCGTCAGGGCGCGCTCGCTCTGTGAGCCGCCGAGAGGAGTGTGACTGGACCCCGAGGACACTGTGGAGCCACTCAGGTTTCATCAACGGTCAGCAGCACGAGGGGGCTGGGGTAGACTGTGGGTTTAGTTCTAGATACACAGAGTCGGGGGTTTATCTAAGCAGCAGTCTGTCAGTCATTTCTATTCTCCCATGAAGTATAACCTAGGCAACAGAGCATGCTTCCCTTCATTGTATCATCCCTCACTTGGAGCCCGCCTGCCGAAGTGCCCTTCTTATTGGGCCGTCTCCTCTGGGGTCCATATACGTTTGTCTCGGTGACTTTCATTTCCTCTTCCCGATGGGGTTCATTTCCTCTTCATTCGGCGGGTAGACACATCTGAGAGCAGGGTCTGGGCTGGCTGTCGGGGCCATGGATTCCCCAACTCCCTTCATAGGAGTTCGTCCCCCTTCCTTGGTGTCCATCGGCACAGTTTTGGCCCAGGACCCCACCTCCTAATGGAATAACACTCTTGGGAATAAGTAACCACCTCCCCTTTCTTTCAGCGGGTGCCAAAGCCTTCGTCTGTGACCAGTGCGGCGCCCAGTTTTCGAAGGAGGACGCCCTGGAGACGCACAGGCAGACCCACACTGGTGAGTGGACTCTGATTCCCGTTCTCTCAGTCCTCCGCAGTGGCAGCGCGTGGGTAGAGGGCGTAGCTCGGTAGCACCCCCTTTCCACAAAATGATATCCAGTCGTTTCCTGGGGGCCGTGAGTGGGGACGGCTGTGCCAGGTTCAGCTACTCTTGCATGTGGGGCTGGCTGGGCAGGTGTAGCTTTGGCCCATAAGCACAGCTGCCCTGGATTAGGCCAAGGTCTCTGTCTGTAGTAGGCCACTGAGGTCTTGTCTTCCCAGAGACCTCTGTCATTCTTGTTAAGACCTTAGAAAGTCCGTACTGTTGTCTGAGCATCCACTGCCCTCGGAAGGGTCAGGAAACTCCTGTATCCCACGTGACGAACTCTGAAACGCGTGTGGGCTGGTCCCCGCTCTGCGAGGGTAGTCACTGTTCAAAAGCGAGCACGCTGTATGCGGGATGCCTTCATTGCGATCATCATCCTCATCATCGCGGGTGCCCCTCGCCCTTACCCACTGCTCACCGTGTGCCAGGCATGGTCCCCAGGGCCTCCCTGACGGCGTTCGGTGTGTCTTTCAGCAAAACTCTGTCAGGGTGGAAGCTGCTCCCAGGTCATAGATGAGGAAACTGAGGCTCAGAGGAGGGAAGGTGACTTGCCTGAGCGAATGGTGGGAAGGGGCAAGTTCCCACCTAGGTTAGCCTGCCTGGTTTAGTCCTGGCTCTGCCCCTTACTGTTTGCGAGACCATGGATAAGTTACTTAAACTCTCTTAATTTGGGTTTCCTCATCTGTTAGAAAAGTTGTGTGATAATAGTGCCTACCTCATAGCATAGAGCATTGTAGGGATTAAGTAAGATACTTTATTTAAAGTGCTTTGCAGAGTGTTTGGCTCACAGTAAGCATTTGCTACACAGTAGTAGATGTATTTAACTTAATAAATATTTATTGAGTTGCTCACAATGTTCCCAGCACTATTGGATCATTTAAAGTGTAGTAACGTATGAGACAGACGGCATTTCTCATGGAACTGTGATTCTAATAGGGAGATGGTACAGGCAAACACCTGCATAATATCATGCCATCCTATAGGAAGTGCTGGTAAGAACAAATAAAGCAGGGTAAGGGGTAGAGAGTGACAGGGAGAAAAGTGATATTTTAGACCAAGTGGTCAGGGAAGGCCTCTCTTAAAAGGTGACATCTTAGAGTCCTAGAGTGAGGGAGGGAGCCACAAAAAGTTTCCAAATATTTGTAAATCATACATCTGCTAAGAGACTGGTAGTTATAAAACATGAAGAAGTCTTACAACTAGATGTTTCTCCAAAAATAGACAAATGGTGGGTGAGCACCTGGAGTGATGCTCAACACCATGAGCCCACAAGACACAAACCAGAATCACAGTGAGGCACTACGTCACACCCATGGGGATGTGGCTACAGGAAAAGTCCCGACAGGGAGAAGTGTTGGTAAGGATGTGGAAAATCGGAACCCCCATACACTGCTGATGGAAATGTTAAATGTCGCACCCACTTTGGAAAACAGTCTGGCAGTTCCTCAAAAAGTTAAACAGAGTCACCATGTGACAGAACACTGCCTCTCCTAGGTACGTACCCAAGAGAAATGAAAACATACATATACAAAAAAATATGCACATGCATTTTTATAGCAGCATTATTCATAATAGCCAAAAGCTTAGTAGAGATAACCCAATGTCTACCCACTGAGAAATGAGTGAACAAGAGGTAGTTTCTCCATAAAAAAGGAATGAAGTACTGATACATTCTACAACATAAGTGAACCTTAAAAAACATTATACTCTAAGCAAGAGGCAAGATCCAATCATGCATGGTGTATGATTTAATTTATATGAAGTATCCAGAATAGGCAAATCTATAGTGACAGAAAGTAGTCCTGGCTGGTGTGGTTTAGTGGATTGAGCTCTGGCCTGAGAACCAAAGGGTCGCTGGTTTGATTCCCAGTCAGGGTGCCAGGCCTGGGTTGTGGGCTAGGTCCCCAGTAGGGGGCATGCAAGACGCAACCACACATTGATGTTTCTCCCCCTCTCTTTACCCCTCCCTGCCCCTCTCTCTAAAAATAAAGAAATATAATCTATCTTTTAAGAAAAAGATAGAAAGTAAGTAGTAAGTGCCAGGGTTTGGGGGAACCGGGGACAGATTGGTGTGGTGGCTAATACATATGGGCATTCTTTGTTGAGTGATGAAAACATTGTAAAGTTGGTTGTGGTGCTGGCTACACAACTCTGAGTTTGTTAGAAAGTGTACAACTGTAGACAGTCACTCTTAACATGGGTTTGAACTGTGCCGGTCCACTTACATGCGGATTCTTTTCCAGTCACTACCTGCACTGGTCTGCCTGTTTGCAGGTGTGGAGAGCTGACTGTGTGCGTTGGTCTGTGCCACCACACACAGGGCTTGAGGGCACACGGGTTTTGGTGCCCATGTGAGGTCATGGAACGAATCCCCTGTGGACACTGAGGGACAACTAAGTTTTGGGAGAGTCAAAGTTATACACAGATTTTCAACTATGTGGGAGGTTGGCTCCCCTAGTGCCCACATTGGTGAAAGGTTAACTGTAGTTTAAAAGCGTGAATTGTTTATTTTATGGAACATGAATTCTATCTCACAAAAGCTGCATACACATGCACACCACACGCATGTGCACAGACATTTATAGAGATGGGGGAAAGCAGCCCATCCAGGGTTTTGAATGGGAGAATGATACGTCTTGATGTATGTGTTTCAAAGATCGCCCTGGCTCCGATGTTGATAAGTGAGCACAGGAGTGTTTCAGTTTATCATTTGCTGTGCAACCCTTGATTCAAGCAGCACTGTCTCATTATCTCAGACAGTTCTGTGGGTTGACTGTGCTCAGCTGGGCAGTTTTCACTTGGGGTCTCTCAGGGGGCTACAGTCAGGTAGTGTCATCTGCGGACTCTCCTGGGCCGATGTCTAGGATGGCTTCCTTGCTCCCTGTCAGACTCTCAGGGCTCCTCCTTGTGCCCCCTCTGCAGCAGAGCAGCCTGGACATCCCCATGACAGCGCTGGGCTCCAAGAGTCAGGAAGTAGAGACTTCCAGCCCTCTTAAAAGCTGGGCTGGGAACATACAGCATCACCCCGCCATACTTGATTGATCAAAGCAGGTACAGGTGAGCCCCAAATTTTGGGGTGCATGATTAGACTGCACTTCTCAAAAGAAATGACAAACATATAAGGAAAGAGGAAATGATGGCAGTCGTCTTTGGAGTCAAGTGACTAAGCTGCCACAAAGGCTGCAGTAGAAGAAGCAAGAACAGTCAGCTGCTGCCATCATAATTATTGTCACCAGTATTTCCTTCTTCTGCCACCTCAAAAAATCTGCCTCTCCTGAGTGGAACACACGCCTCCTAGAACTGGTGTCATAGGCTTTGGACTGGTGCTGCCCTGGCCTGGGGCAGGAAGGAGCAGGCTTCCTAGGTGAGCTGTCACTCCTGTATGCACCTGCCCACATCTGTTACAGAGAAGGCGACTTGGTGGGTAATTTTGCTCAGGGTTCCAGAGCTGGGTATCTTAGAAGCCAGGGAAGACCCAGGTCTCCCAAGGTCCCAGCCAGTTTCTTATTGCCAGACTACATGTAACCAAGAATCCCGCTCTGAATTCCAATCTGGGGGCTGAGGAGACTGAGTCGTGGGCCAGCTTTGCCAAGAAGCTTAACTCTGTTTATCCAGATTCAACTTGCAGCAGCAGGGCTCAAGCTGCCCACTCAACCAGGGCTGGGAGAAGGGGCAGAGTCCCTGCTGGGTGAGCTGAGGGATGTTGTTCATGAGTGGACCCCACCCACTTGCTGAGTGCCTCCTGTGTGCCTGGCACTCATTACTGACGTGGTAGTGATTGACCAAGACACACTCCCTGCCCTTTTTCACCCAAATAGCTTTCTTGAGATATAATTCACATGTCACACTGTTCACCCGTTTAAAGTGTACAGTTCAGTGATTTTAGTACTCTGTGATTTTAATAGGACTCTATTTAAAGTGTTAAAGCTCTAGAAAATAATATAAAGTTTGCCATTTTAACCAGTTTTAAGTGTACAGTTTGGTGGTGTTAATGACTTTTCACCTGTGTTGAGAATTTGGGTATTGATTCAGCTTTGAAAGTCAGAATGTGTCCTAGGACCAATGACTTTCTAGGATTTTTTTAAGTCAGTGAGAACTTGAAAGTGGTCAACACTTTCCAGAAAAGGGTATTTGTTTCAAATATGATCGGAAAGACCCTGGAGTTTGAGTTAGAAGCCTAGGAGAGGGGCTCTAACTCCACTGTCTAGTAGATGAATATCCGGGACTTGTTACTGCTCCTTGCTGCCCTTCAAGTCTCCTCACCTGCAAAAGGAATAGAGTGCTGGTCCCCGCTGGAACGCACGTGAGGCCCAGCCCATTCAGCCTTACTTTTGCTTTATCTCCAGGTTGAGTACATGGAGCTCTTGAAAGGGGAAAGGAATGGAAAAAATGGATCCAAATGAAGGGTGAGAGACCAAGGTGGATACTTTGAGGAAGGCTTCCTCCCCACCTGGGTGCGAGCTACAGGCAAGCTCCCCCTGCAGCGAGGCAGGCTGCACCCTCCTCCCGGTGCAGGCAGGCTGCACCCTCCCGGGAGAGGTGCGGCAGCACCCTCGTCCTCGGGGCGGGGTCAGCAAGGAGGTGGCTTTTTCCGACACGTGGCAGAGCTCATTTGTCACTTATAGTGCCACTTCCAATGCAGCCCAGATAGAGCTTCAGAGTTCTCTAGTAATCACTGGAAGAGCACAACTTGAAACTTAGTCGTCATCTCTGCTCTAAAGGAGGAACTGCATGACCAGGGGAGAGAGGCCTGATCATACGGAGTGGCTGCGATAATGCTCAAGGGATTGGACTGGGAGAAGCCCGTGGGCTGCCAGGTATTGTCCAGGAGTCAACAGGAGAACAGGGGGAGAGAAGTAGGAAGGAAGAAGAGTGGAGATGCTGGGAGAGTGAAGTCATGGGAATGCCACCTT